AGTAATTATCCAAGAAATTGAAAAGAATTACAATCATAAAAAGAAAACAAAAGCATAAAGTTTACCATCAATGAGATTCCAAGCAACATCATTACAAGAAAAATTTAAATTTAAGTTTTTTCCGACACGTAAATTACAAGCTTCTTCAAATCTGTCTTCTAATAAAGTAAATATTTTGAAAACTGTAATATAAAATAAATGATCAGCTATTAATGATATATATCATTTTTCTTTATATAATCATTCTTTTTCAATTAATTTTTCATTGAATAACTTACCATTACGTCCTGCTATGACAACTTGACTATTATCTTTATTAAGTGCTAATGCATTTGCTGGACCTTCTTGTGTGATGCATACAGTTTTAGAAATCATGATGAAATTTTTTTACTTTTTAAATAATCACAATATATCAATTTTCATTTAAAAATTATATCTTAATTTCATATTTCATAAAGAAAAAATTTTAATTAATAATATTAATAAACATTAAATAACTTATTTGTAATTTGCATTATTAATAAATTTAGCATATAATAACAGTAATATCAATATAAAACACAATATTAAAACTTTCTAAAGATTTTATTCAATTCAAATTAATTCAAATCAAATATTATAAAATACTTTTCTTCTTTCATTATAAATATACAAACATGAAATATTTTGTGTATACAATTCACATCTTTATTCATAATGAAAAAAGAGAGGCAATCTCAATATAAAAATATATCAAACATTAAGAATGATAAATATTTTATTGCATTAGCAAATTTTTCTTTTTAATATAATAAAAATAAAATTAATATGCAATATAAAATTTAATAATGTTACAAACAAGAATATTCATAAAGATATGAAATTCGTGTTTTTCATACTGAATTGTAAGAGAGCGCTGATGGATACAAAATAAACTTACATCATTTCTTGTTCATGTTTCTAATCTATATTATTTTATTTATTAATGCTACATCATATATATGTATATAACATCATATGCGCACGAAAATCGATTCCTTAAAAGTATAGTTAAAAATTGTATGAATCACTGCAACAAGTTGCTATTAGTAATAATGCGAATGACTTTAATCGAATGACTTTAAAATGATTGCTGTTATTCTTGTTGTATTCTTGTTGTTAAATTAGTATTGCAAAATATATATTATAAATGATTATTTTATAAAAAATCAGAAACAATAAAAAATACATCATACTTCAATGTTGTCATACTGTAATGTTTAAATTAAATTTAATATATTATTGAATAATATTTTATTTACAATATTGTTTAATTAATATATTAAGAATCATTGCCAATCTATTATAATTTATTATATAATATTAAAAAAGTTTCAAAATAATTTTATCGATATAATTCTTTGAAATTGTGATGTATTCAATAAATAAATGATATTTTTTTATAATCTATAATCTATTCTATGAATAAGTGAAAGTTTATTGAAAACATTTTGCTACATGCAGTTCGAGGTCAATCGTTATAGTTGAAATCTTTAACTATGTAAGTACAAATAATTGTAGAAATCGAAGTAATCTGATGATTAATAGATATCACAATACATAGCAGTTATCATTCGTGAGTGATATTAATTTAATATAAAATGGGTGGAAAAAATTGTAAAGGACTTCTACCAATAAATTCTAATAATTTGCCAGGTAAATCAACAAAAACAGATGCGAATTAAATTTTTTTCTTTTTTTTTAAACTTATCTATTCATGATTACATATGTCAGTTATTTATTGATATATTATTCTATATCAAAATTCTATACATATTAAAAGATAAGATATTATAAGAAAAAATTTTTTATTTAAATTTTTTATTTATATTTAATTTAAAAATTTTGAATGTGAAAAAAATTATATATAAAATTTTAATAATCATAATTTTTACGAATGTACATATACAAAATATACATATCAAGTAAATGTGTACATATAACTACATTACGTAAAAATAATTTATACTATTTTTTCTTTTATTTTCATTAGATTGTATTACTGATAAATTTTTATATTTAATAATAAATAATTATGACATCAAATGAATGCAAATCTTATTCCGTCTTATATTATTAAATCTTGATATAATTTTTATTTTTTTAAATAATTAAAAAAATACGCGAACAATTATTAGAATATTTTTTGAAAATGTAGATCGTTCTCTTTAAATGTTACATTCTTGCAACAGAATATCTTTATATGCAAATACAAAATCTATATATTTAGAGTTTTATTATTTTTGTTATGCTATGAAATCAATATCAGAATTATAATCTATGTATAAAATAAATATTTTATAAAAGTTTAAACAAGAAATATTACGAAATAAACCATCTTGAAGATATGTGTTTATATATTATGAAACGATGTATGAAATTAGCGAATAATGCAATTTTAAATGTTCGTTTAAAAGTAAATAATAATAGGTTACACGAAATGCAGCTTGAAAGAAAAACTCGTACTTGTAATGTGTGTAATAAACAAGTGGCCGAAATTAGGCAATTATATAATAATGCACATTGTTGTTGCACTTGTGAGTTAATGAATTTTTATTTACATGTTAATAATACAATTTAATATATATTTTTCTGAACTAAATTATATAAATACGTTAAATAATTTAAAAAAAAATTAACTTATATAATAAAGAAAATATAATTTCAAATATTCCAAATATAAGTTCCAAATATAATTTTAAATATGAAATATTTATATTTATTTAGGTAAACCAGAAAAATATGACTATATTGAAGATGTGGTATGCATGGAAACAGATATTAGAGAAAATGAAATGAAACTCTTGCCCCTTGGACAAAATGGAGGAAAAATCTTATTAATTAAACAAAAAGGACAAATACATGCCATTGGTACAAAATGTACACACTATGGAGCTTTACTTCATACAGGAGCACTAGGAGATGGAAGAATAAGATGTCCATGGCATGGTGCATGTTTTAATATTAAAACAGGAGATATAGAAGACTATCCAGGATTAGATTCATTACCTTGTTTCCAGGTATTTTAATGAGTAAACATAAAATAAGCAATAAAATAAAATGTAAAATTTAATGAAATAGGTAAACGTAGATACATCTGGTTATGTACGTGTGAAAGCAAATCGCAAAGATTTAGAATTCAGTAGAAGGATAAAATATATGTGTGAACGAGATCCCAATAACACTAATACTGTTATAATAGTTGGAGGTGGACCAGCAGCTGCAACATGTGCAGAAAGTTTGCGACAAGAAAATTTTACAGGAAATATTATTATGATTTGTAAGGAAAATATACTACCATATGACAGAGTAAAAGTATCAAAAGCTTTTGACATAGATGTTGAAAAAATAATTTTAAGACCAAACTCATTTTACAAAGAGCACAAGATTGAAACTAAATTGGATGTAGAAGCCATAAGTAAATAAATTAATGTGAAATATTTTTTTTTATAATTTCAAATTTTATAATATCAATATATTATTAATTTTATAGGATTAGATACAAATAATAATATTCTACATTTAAGTAATAAAGAAAAATTAATATACAATTATTTATTTATTTGTACTGGAAGTATGGCCAAAATACCTAAAATACCTGGTGTTGATTTATCTAATATCCATGTATTAAGAAATTATACAGATGCTCAAATTATAAATTCAAAATTATCACTTGAAAAACATATTGTAATACTAGGATTAGGTTTTATTGCTATGGAAGCTGCTGCTTTTTGTGCAAAAAAATGTGCATCTATTACTATCATTGGAAGAGGTAAAACTCCTTTACAATCAGTATTTGGAACAGATATTGGTAATAGAATCAAGCAGCAATTTGAAAATGAAGGTAATAAAAATTAATCCCATACATTGAAGTATACTTAAGTATTAAATTATTATACTTAAATATCAAATTAAAATGTTGAGATAAATCAGTATTTAAATATTATACTTTCAAGGTATTAAATTTATATTTGAACATGATATTACACAATTTGTTGCAAAAAAAGATGACAGTACTGCTGTAGGTACAGTTGTACTTAATGATGATCAAGTTCTTCTTGCTGATATAGTAATTATTGGAATTGGAGCAAAAGTATATACCGAATGGATAAAGCAGTCTCCTATTGAAATGCTACCAGATGAAACCATTAAAGTGGATAAGGTAAAATAACATATATGATAATAAATATATTTTAAACATTAATTTTAAGATAAATTGAATAATAATATAATATTTTATATGTATAATTTTAGTATTTGAAAACAAATGTAGAAAATATATATGCTGGTGGAGATGTAGCTTATGCACCTTTATTTGGCTCTGATGAAATTTCAGCTGCAATAGGTCACTATCCATTAGCACATTATCATGGTAAAATAGCAGCATTAAATATATGTGGTAAAACTACTGCTTTAAATGCTATACCATTTTTTTGGACAACACTGTTTGGAAAAAGTTATAGATATGTGGGTACGTAATATTTTTATATTTAATAATGAGAAATAAAATATCATATTTATATTTTAATTACATTATAATTATTTTAAATTATATAGGATATGGAACACCAGAGAAAATTAGAATTTATGGTTCTTTAGAGAAATTGGAATTTTTTGCATATTATATTAAAAATAATAAAGTTATTGCTATGAGTAGTGTTTCAGCAGATCCTATTGTGTCAGATTTTGCAAATTTTCTATATGAAGGAAAAATATTGACAGAAACAGAGATTAATAGAGATCCATTTAGTTGGATAAGAAACAAACCAAAGGATTTACACAATAGATTCCGAAATGAAATTATTGTAAATCCATGAATCAAACATAAGAGAGAAAATTATTCAAGTGGAAAATTGAATGAAATTGCTATGCTTAATACTGTATTCCATAATATATTTCTATTTTTAGTTTTATAATCTCCTTTTTTCAATTTGTTTTACTAACAAAAATGAAATCAAATAATACTACATAATATATTTAGCTTTTATATTATTCATATTGTATATATGGAAATTTTATTTAATACAATTCTTTATTTATTAAAGCAAATAATTATATATTTATACAATAAAAATTAATCCCATGCATTAGCTATTTTTAAGTGATTTAATCGATCTGAAATAGTTATTTTTTTGTTAAATTTCTCATTTGTTTCTTGTCGCCATTTATTCAACTGAGTAAGATAATTTTGTTTTCTAACTTCTTTCATATGACCTTTTGATTGTTCGATAGTAAGATAAGGATGTCTCAGTATTAACATGTTTTCTTCTTCTCTTTCAAGATCATTTTTAAAATCCATTATATCCTTGAAAGTAGGCTTTTTAATTTTACCATATTTCCTATATTTGATGTAATATTTATATTATTATTACTAATAATATTTAAATATATAAATATGTAATAAGCATAATTTTAGTTTGTAACATTACAATGAGAAACTAGAAATAAATTTTTTTAAATAATATTTTTTATAAATAATTAGTAATAACAAATATATTATGAATCATTATTTCATCATTATTTATGTTTTTGCATCAATTGCAATATCACAATATAAAAAAAATGATCGCATAATTAAAACATAACCTTAAAATTTTATTAGAATGGATATTTATACATACCCACGATATCTATATGGGATATTATGAACTTTATACAAAAATATATTTGTAATACGCATCTTTATTATAATTTCTTTTTTTTAAATTAAATGTACAAATTTTTATTAAATTTAATCACACAAAGTACACATTAACACGTAATACTTTTTCGAATGATTTCCAATCCATATTGGATAATATCAAGTAAAAAAATTAATTAAAATTTCAGATAAAATTATTTTATTAGCATTGAATAATTGATAGTTAATAATATAGTGCGAAATGGCAATTAATTATTGTTTTGAATTAATTATAATTTTAAATTTCGAATAAAAGATGATGACTACAGCTTTAACTTAATTCAAAGATTTCAAATATTTTAAAAATAAATAAATTTTTAATTATATAATAAATAATAAATAAAACTAATATTTTAATTGTAAACAATAATTACTTTTTTATTTACATAAATATCATTTAAATAATTCCAAAAATAATTTATTTTTTATTTTTTACATACAATAAAATATTATTTTTTATTTCTATTTAGATAGATTTAGATGATGTTAGATAAAAAAATATATTTTTAAATTATATTAGATAAAAATATGTATTATGACATTGAGAGAAATCAGTAATTATACAGATAAGGTGTATATCATCTATAGAGATAATAAAAAATAGATACGCTGATTTGATTTGGTGAGTGATACGATAATTTCATTGGCGGAAAAAGAAATATATAAAAATATAAAAAAACTATAGAAAATGCATGAATATATATATTCCAATTAATTTTAATTATTGAAGTTAAATTTGATTTATATTGAATTTATAATGATGATTATTTTAATTTTATTATCTAATTCTGAATATAGAATTTTTACATAATAATCATAACTTTTTTAAGAAAATAATTTAAAAAAAAATCGCAGTCATTAATATGAATTAATAGATCATTGAACTTTATTTTTTTTAAAATTTGACAAGGAAATGCCACTTATATTTTTTTCGCAATAAATTTTCAATATTATTACAAATGATCTCAAATAATCTTCAACATATAATTTTCTAAGATGAATGCCACCTCATAACAAGATATTAATTAAGCATAAAATTTGAAGAAACATTCGTTGGACATTCATAAAATTATTCTTTGATTATGATCTTCTAACTTGAATTCATTAGATTTTCTTTATAGAGTTTATTTCAGTCGAAGTTGTGTTAATTGAAAACATCATTATTTAAAAAAATAAATTCTCAGCATATCATCAGTGTTATAATAATAACAAATATAAATTAGTTTCATTGATTACAATTCTGGATTATAGTTTGAACATTTATTATAATTCTAGGCATAAAGATATCGCGACATTAAATAATTGAACAATTTATTTTATTTATTTTATTTTATTATACATGAATATAATATTTTGAATATTTTGAATAATTTCATTGAAGTGAAATAATTTTTTACGATAAGAGTTTCTTTGATTTCTTCATTCATTTGAAAGATATATCATTAAGTTCGTTTTAACATCAGTTACAACTATGAAAAAAGAAAAGTTAAGATGATTTTAATTTATTGGAAAAAAACATTTTTTTGAAATTTTTTTTATTGCAATTTATAGTCGATTAAAAATTGATTAAATTTTATTCAAAATATTTTTTTGTTAGAAAAGTTAAAAAAAATTGTGACATACATAAATATATAGAATTAAAAATTAGCTCGAATAGATTCTGATTAATTGATTTTTGATCAATAAAGTTAATCAAATGTCGGAGTGATTATATCTCGAGTATATTTTTAAAGAACAAATACAAAAATAATAGGACAAGAACAGAAATAAGATAAAAATTTGACAAAAATTAACATCATTTCTTAAATGATAAATATAACAAAAAATAAACAAATATAAACAAATATAAATAATAGAAAAAGAATTAATTTAAAGTAGAATAAAAATGTAGGATAAAGTGGACTAAAAATTGAAGATCATCTCTTAACTAATGAAAATATTTTTCAAGAGATAACGCTGATTCTTAATTATTTCATCTTACTTTGATTTAAATGAGATGTTTTTAAGAGATGGCACTGATGGTCAATTTGTATTTATTTTTATCTTATTTTCAAATTGATTTTTAGCAATTTTTTTCACAAAAATTGGCGCTGATGATCAATTCCAATTCTATTTTTGTCCTTTTCTTTGCTCTTCTTGTTTATGTTTCATAATTCTGATTCCACAATTTTCTAATTTTTTAATGATTTAAGTAATTTGAAGAACAAAGATTCGAAACAATAAGAAAGACAGTATCTATACCATGTATCCACTTATCAATTATTTTTTTATCACTTCAATACTCTACTATGTAAAAATGCTATCGAAACTCTCAAAATTCCTATAATTATTAAAATTTTCACGTTTTGCTTTATCAAGACTTTCGAAAGTTCTAAACTTTAAATTATATTCGAAATCGATTCAAATCTTTATAATCTTCGAATAAGATTTCGAGTCGTTATATATAAACATGTTTTCACGTGATAGAAAAAATTATGATACAATTAGATTGCACAATTAGATTGATTGAACAACTTTTTTTTAAATTATTTTTTGAATTATAATTTAAAATTAATATAAATTTATCAAAATTTTTTTCTCACTTAATTATCTCAAAATATTCTATCATCATTGATATATTTCGAATATAAAATAATTTAATTTACATTTTTAAAATGTTAAAATGAAAAAGTTGAAATTATTCGTGCATTACAACAACGGGTATAAGATTAATTTAGGAGAGAAGGATAATTAGGAGGGAGGGAAGAGAAAATAGAAGAAATCGTGACTCCATGAAAGAATTGATCTATTTTGATAGCATTTCAAATTTAAGACAAAAAGAAAAGGTGATATTCTTATAATTAATAACAAACACGTTTTCAAATTACGAAGGAGGTTCACACATTCGATTTTCCGCGTTTACACGCGAGGTTTTTGGTTTTCTTGATCACCTTTATTTATTTTTCTCGTAAATGTCGTCTGCCTGTCTTTCTCTCTCCCCCTCTCCACCTCCCGCCCACCATTCTCTCCTCTTTGTCTATTTCTTTCTAAATTATGTTATTCGCATTTGTAAATCACCTGTTGCACTATATCATTCTCTGTTATTACATAGGATTTAAAATAGGATATCATTATCACGATATGTAATTAATAAATGATTTTTGCAACTATTTTATATCTTTTATATCCTTACTTTCAATATTCGTTAATACAATATGGTATAAAAAAGAAAAAGAGAAACAGATAGATTCAGACGGACATAGTTATATATATAGACAGAATGACAGACAGGCAGACTGACTAACTGATTGACTGACTGACTGGCTAACTGATTGATCGACCGATCGACCGACCGACTGACTGCCCGGCTGCCAGATTTGCAAACACATTGTTAAATAGACAGAAAGACAGACAGACAGATAGACAGACAAACAGATGGTCAGCCAGTCAGTCAAATAGACGGACAGACAGATAGACAGACAGACAGACAGACAGACAGACAGACAGATAGATAGGCGAGCAGATAAACTACACGGACAAATGGTGGACTACGCTATTCAATAACTGTGGCTTTCCTTTGAAATGATCTACGCGCATTAAATCCCTCTTGGTTGGTTTCGCTTGTTTTTCTATATAAATCGGGTTTGAAATCCTCTCTATCTTCCGACACCCTTATTCAACCCCAAAATACGCTCTTGCGCGCTCGCGTAACTCGCTTACATACATATATAATTGCGTAACATTTTTGTGTGTGTGTGTATGTCGTATCAATTCTCCTCTTTCTTTCTTTCTTTTTT